ATCAGGAATTCGATCTCAATTTATGAAAATAAAATTCACTCTTCGATCAATCATTTATCACTTCATACGAATCACTCTAACAAAAAGTTAGTCACAACCTCACAATCCAAAATATAGGTTTATCGGTCACCATAAAGAAATAGATAAAAGGTGGGCAAGGCAAAAGCAGGGAACAGCTGTGTTGCGTATGAGTGCTTGCTTGTAGTAGTATTGGAGGTTGTTTAGTTTGTTTATTATCCAGTAAAGCACACTTTCTGGTCACACTCTGCCTTGGTCTCTTTTCCAATTAGGCTATCACTGTAATATATTTTCTTAATGTGAAGATTTAAGTTCATAGATAATTTAAAGAATAAGATACATTTAATTTTCGGAAAATTCTTGTAAACGGATGAATTCGTGTTACTAATGCTGTAGTCTCCCAATAATGAGATGCATGTGCCTCCTCATTTCCCATGAATGTTATATTGGATAATTAAGGGTTAATTGCAAGTTTGGTATGAGATTACATAAAGTTTTACATTTGATCAGTAGAAATATTTTCATTTGTGGTCGTTAAAATTAGTTAAATATTTTAAATTTGGTCACTCTTCGTATAATTTTGTTAATTTTTTCTATTGTGACGGTCAACTTTTATAGTTGAACGTTAAATGTGTGACGCGACAATTAAAAAAATAAATTGTATCTTTAAGATTTCCCACCTCATTTTCAAAACTATTAAAAATAAAATTTAAACTTGAGTATAAAGAATGATTCTAAGAACTTCATTCCCAATTGATTCGTTATAATCATGTTTTATTGGAGGAATATTTCATTTCCAGTTATGTGAGTGGTTTGGAGAAAGAACTTCGTCCAATAATGTCTCTGGCTCTTTCCTTTCAGCTTCACGATTGAAAAAGGCTTCTAATGAGGTTTGAAGGAAGAAATGGAGAGGTCCAATTGCTAGGGCAGTGTGTATGGCGGCACCAGCAATGGGGTCGGGAGGATCTTTTTCTGTTCCTAAGAAGTGAGAGGCATCCAAACCACATTCAGCTCGTGCTCCTGCTGCGACTTCCAATTCAAAAACCACTGTATAAATGCGGTGACAGGTAATTCTATAGCCATATTTGTGAGGCCAAACGCCAACTCAATGTTCATCAGGGTAAAGGGGCATAGGCTATAGCACATGAGCCTTAGAGTGATAATGATGATACAATGATTGAGGATATCATCATGGAGACAGCAGTAGAGGTCACCATGCAATCCTTAAGCAATGGCAGGATATCCATTTCGTTAGTAATTCAAGGGAAGGTGCAAAAATCATCTATGCTAGTTCTAATCAACACAGCCAACACTCACACCTTCTTGAATGAGAAAAGGCTAAGGAACATAAGCGTACAATGGAGACTGCTACTCCTCTGAGAGTGAAATTGGCTGATGAAATTCTATTGATTAGCAATCTGGTGTGCTATGCTTTCACATGGAAAATGCAACATTGTCAATTCATTTATGACGTGAGAACTCTACAATTAGGGTATAATAATCTTGTTCTTGGATTCGATTGATCAAAGACCATCAATACTGTCAAATTGACTTCGTAAACTTGAACTTGTATTTTTGAGCTCGAAGGGAAGGAGATAATGTTGAGAGGCATGAAGGAATAAGGGAACTATTAAACTATGAAAGTAAAACATCTGCAGAAACTTTTTACTCAGGGGGATTAGTTCCGAGAAGGACTACTCTTCACCCTCACTATTGAGCCTGTTCAAGTGGCCACAGATAATACCCCCTTTTTTGTGTAACCCCTACTACATGAATTCAAAGATGTTTTTGGCAAACCAACTTCCTTTCCACCCTCCAAACCTTGTGACCACAAAATACCCCACATTCCCAACTCCAACCCACTCAATCTAAGGCCCTATCACTATAACTTACCATAAAAAAAAGTAGTTGAGAAACTGGTAGATGAAACGATGGCCTCGAAGTTCATCCAGACCAGTCACAATACTTTTCGTCTCTTGTCCTGTTAGTATTAAATAAAGATGGTTCTTAGAGATTCGGCTTTGATTATAGACAGTTGAACTCTATTACCATTAAGGACAAGTTTCTCATACCAGTTGTTGATGTTCTACTAGATGAGTTAGGGGGTTCCAAGTACTTTATTAAACTAGACCGTCTATCTGATTACCATAAAGTTAAAATGCATACTGAAGACTGATACAAAATAGCCTTTAGAACACATCATGGTCACTTTGAGTTCAGGGTTATGCCCTTTGGCCTTATTAATGCACTTGAAACCTTTTAAGCCCTTATGAACCAAAATTTTGCCCTTTACCTAAGAAAATTCATTCTAGTCTTCTTTGATGATAAACTGGTATACAACCTTGACCAAGCCTCTCACTGCAAACACCTCACCCTTACCTTACAAATACTCAGAAAACACACTCTCTTTGCCAAACCTTCCAAATGTTACTTTGCACAGAAAGAGTACCTGGGGATACATCATCAATGAGGATGGAGTGTCGACAGATCAAGGCAAGGTTGCTATTATTGTAAAGTGGTATGTCTCAAGAAATGTGAAAGAACTCAGAGGGTTCCTTGGTAACACTAGGTACTACAAAAAGTTTGTTAAATTTTTGTGGGGCTATTAGCAAACCTTTGACTGAATTACCAAAGAAGGATGGATTTCAGTGGAGTGTTGCTTCTCAGAGAGCTTTTGTATTACTAAAGTCTGCCATAGTGCAGGCTCCTGTCTTGGCCTTACCAAATTTCAATCTTCCCTTCTAGTCAGAGACTGATGCCAATGATGTAGGCATTGGAGCTGTTCTGTCTCAACAGGGTCTTCCATATGCTTAGCATAGCCAACCTTTGGGAGTTAGACAACAAGGTCTCTCAACTTATGAGAAGGAATATTTGGCAGTCCTCTTAGTTGTCACCAAATGGAGGCATTACCTCGAAGGACGACCATTTGTCATCTTAATTAACCATGAAAGCATCAAGCGCCTGCTTGGGCAAAGATACATACTCACATTAAGAAGAAAGGGTTGGTAAAAATTCTAGACTTGGATTATGAAATACAATACAAACAAGGTCAATTTAATAAGGTTGCAGATGCTCTTTCCAGGCACCCAGAGTTTCAACGGGAAGGGGAATGCAAGACCATCACTGTTGTATTGCCTTTTTGGTTAGCTGAAGTGGAAAAAACATATGTGGGAGATGCAACAGTTCAAGAGTCAACGATAGAGGCATCAGTGCCTAGGTCCTCAGATTTACAATGTGAAGGAAGGACTGTTATACCATGAGAATGCTCTATATGGGGGGTCAGTGGGAAATATGAGGGTCCATATATTCCACATGTTTCATGATTCTCATATTGGGGGACATTCTGGAGTTCAGACAACATATAAGAGACTCAAGAGGTATTTTTGGTGGCCAGGTATCAAATTACAGGTGAAAGAGTTAGTTGGCAACAATGATGTGTGTCAAAGGTGTAAATCAGAAAATGGCCCTTACCCTTGTCTTCTGCAACCATTACCAATACAAGAAAGGGCATGGCAACATATATCAATGAATTTTGTAGAAGGGATTCCTAATTCTGATGGAAGAGAAATGATTTTGGTGGTTGTTGAACGTTTTTTAAACTGTAGCCATTTATATGGACTCACAAGACCTTACACTGTAGTGGGAGTAGCATAGGTATTCTTTGAGGGAATTTTAAAGCTACATGGGATGCCACATACCATTTTCTCTGACATGGATCTTGTGTTTACTAGTAACTTCTGGTCTAAGTTGTTTGAGATGCAAGGAGTAGATCTCCACTACTCTACAGATTACCACCCACAAACTGATGGATAGAACGAGAGACTCAATAGGTGCTTGGAAGATTATTTGAGGAGTATGACTCACTTTGCCCCACAGACTACCATAGCAACCTACAACTTACCCCTTTTGAAGCTCTGTATGGATAACCTTCCATTTATTTTGAGATCATGAACCCTTTGTCCACAACGTTGTAGCAGCAACAGACAAGTTGCAGCAGCAACAACAGAAGATGATTAGGTTGTTAAGACACAATTTGGCTATGGCACAGAATCTCCAGAAGCAAATGGCTAATAGGTACAAAATTGAATGAGAATTTGCAGTCAGTGACATGGTAAAACTCAAGCTCAAGCCCTATAGAAAAATTACAGTGGCTACTAGGATGAACCAGAAAGTGTCTGCTAAGTACTATGGACCTTCCCATATCACTAAGAAGATAGAAGTAGTAGCCTATGAGTTAAAGCTTCCTCCCACTTCGACCATCCATCCAGTGTTCCATGTGTCCTTACTCAAGAAAGCTAGTGGTGCTGATGAATTAGTGGAAGCACAATCTGCCTTACTAGATTATGATGAGTTAGGAGAGATGAAGGTTGAACCATATAAGATACTAGCCAGAAGAGTGGTGGCTCGAGACAATCAAGCTGCAACACAGGTTCTTGTAAAATGGACACACCAGAAAGAAGCTGACGCCACTTGAGAGTACTTGGAGCAGTTCAAGAAGCAACATCCAGAGTTCCATACTTGAGGACAAGTATTCAGTGAAGGAGGAAGACTTGTAACAATTTGTCCTTATTTGTATGTAATTAGAATATGAGGACTTATTTGATAGAGAAGGAAAATACAATGTAAGGGACTGAAGGGGTAATAAACCAGTACGGGTCATATAAAGGGTAGAGTTGTCTGTAACGGCTAGAATAACATAATAACAACCCACTTTCCCAATCTCTCTCTTCCTTGCCCTCCCTTTTGCAACGTCTCTCTATTCCATCTCCTTTGTTCATCGCCATTTCCTCTTCTTTCTTCGTCGAGTGTCGATTTCCCAAGCTAAGGTGTGACACACAGTGCGCCAGATCCCATGTCTTTCCCTCTCTCCCTCCTCCAGCCTCCCCTCTTCTACTTTGGATTTGCTTCTCCTCTCATCCTCCTTCAATATGCTTCTCTAAATTTCTTTTGATCTTTCAGCCAAGCCATGCAATCAACCATTACTTAGTGCCTTAGATTCATTTGAAAATATCAAGTCAAGTAACTTGAAGAAAAACCAAAAAAAAAAATTAATGGGAAAGACCTGGATCGTTTATGATTGATTCATGGGTGATCTGTTACAATTAGAAAGAAGCACAAGAATGAGGAAAGTTTATAGCCTAGAGGTCCAAATTTCCTCTTCCTCCCAATTACAAAGAGTGTATGCCATTAAATGGACCGCTTTATTGGCCTCGCCCACAAAGGAGAGATTCAACCCACAAACTTCAATAAACTTAGCCCGGAATTCCTCACACACCTCCGCAATTTTCGTTTCTTCACCTTCCTTTATCTGAAGGCATTGCACCTCACCCAGACAATCTGATTCAATCAATCCAAGTGAAAAATGATACTCTTAGCCACCTCCAAACCGAAATCAATCACTGTCACTTCTGCAAATTCAGGCAGCCACTGCCTTCTGGTGCACTTTACCCCTGCTAGGCAAAAGTTCCCAAACTCATATCTTATCACCACCCCAAAACCATATCCATTTCCCTCAAACACCGTTGCATCCACATTGATCTTATACACCCCCGCCATCGATGGCTTCCATGTCGTTATCTTCTTCTGCCCATCGGTGGTAGGTGTAAGTTGGTGATGATTGTATTCCTCTAGCCACTGGATAGTCCGATCGATGATCTCCCACTCCTCTCTCTTTTGATTGTTCCACAGGTGGCTATTCCTTTCTGTCCATATGAACCACAAGGATACGAGGAATTTGTCGATGTCTTCAGTCGACTCCATCTCTTGCAGGGCACAAATCCATTATTCGCAAGTAATGTCCTCTCATTTCTTGAACAAACTTTTGATCGATGTTGGTTGCCAAACTCTTCGAACCCACCTGTAGTCTCTGAAAATGTGAGTTGTGTTTCCTTAAGTCTACAGAATGGACATTCTTCGTTTCCTCTTCTAGTTCTATCCACTAGAGTACCCCCCAGTAGGTAGGATGTTTTGTATCCATTTCTAGTCAAAACTCTTACATTTGGTGGAATTTGGAGTTTCCAAATTTTAGTTCCAATTTACTGGCACATACCTTTCACCCACCTCTTCATCTTCTCTTCGTCTCCATTAGAGATAGGTGGACTTGATAGAGTAGTTCCCACTCTTTTATGCTCTCCAAACTCATCTACCTGTCGAGAGCTATCTTGGTATTGGTATTTGGGTGATCTTCCTTCTATCCTCGGCTTCAAAATGGGATTGGTGAACAGCTGTCTTTCATTCTCTAGCTTCAAGATCAATGAGTTCGTGCACTTTCATTGGTGACTAGGCTGTTCAAACGGAATTCAATATTACTTCTTCCTCGCCCATAAGCCACTAATCGTCCCATATATTAATCTTAGTACCACCTCCAACCTTTCATCGTGTACCTTTCTTCACTAGTTCCTTTGCTGCCATGATATTCTTCCATACAAAACTTGGGTCATAACCCACTCAGGCATTCATGATATCATAGTGAAGAAAATAGCAGGCTTTCAGGACTCTAGCGGCTAGGAAGTGGGGTTATTGACAAGGTTCCAGACCTGTTTCCTTAATAGAGCTAAGTTAAAACCCTCCACCTCTCGAAAACTCATTCCACCTTCCTTCTTAGGAGGATAGAGTTCCTTCTAGCTTTTCCAGGGCATATGCCTTTCATTGTTTTGCTGTCCCCACCAGAAATTTGATAGGATGCTATTTGTCTCCTCAAGGATACCCTTAGGGATTTGAAAAATGAACATGATATATGTTGTTTGATCTTGTGCCACTGCCCTTATCAAGGTTTTCTTGGCTGCATTTGATAGCAAACGACTTTTCCACAACTTCACTTTTTTCCTTACCTGTCCACGAGATAAGTGAAAACCGATCTCTTTTCACCACCCACAATAGTAGGAAGACCCAAATATTTCTCGTGGAACTGAACTACCCTAATCCCCAAGATCTCAGCTAGCTCTCCCTTCCTGATGTTGGTTAGATTCGACATAAAAGACAGATTCAGCTTCATACAGTTTCAGAATTTATTTGAGCTTTAGACACTCCATTGAGGTTGCGTTAACAAAATAGATGATATCATATGTAAAGAGAAAATGAGTGATAGTTGGAGCTTCCTTTCTAACCTTAATTCCTTGTATCCATCAATCTTTTTCATCCTTAGTGATCATAGCCGAGAGGCCCTCTGATACTAATAGGAATAGGTTAGGTGATATTGGATCACCTTGTCATAGTCCTCTCTGGGGAAAGAACGTTTCAGAGTGGTGGCCATTGACAATTCGTGAATAGGACACTATTGTAACACCACTCATTATAAGATTCACCCATCTACCTGTGAACCCCAGCTTCTTCATTATCGCCTCTAAGAAAGACCATTCGGTTTATTCACTGATCTGAAACTTATCACTTGTTTTCTTATTGATTCCAGGGGCGGCAAATTTCTTGAATGAAGTCTATCCAAATCGAATTAGCACTTCTCAGATCAGGCTAGGCTTCTCCAGCTGAGCTAGGCGTTGCGGCCCTAGATGCGCTAGCGATCGACACATAGGGGGTGGTTGCCCAGGTTTCTCGGCCTAGTATCTTGCATCTCGCGTTCATGATATCTACATTCTACTGTGCCCTGGAGACACGGTCGAAGCACGCCCGCCCAGTGTGCTTCTTTCACGACATGCTGTGGTCCCGGGTGTTTTCCAGTGGTCTTCTAGCATTAGAAGAAGTCGTGTCCATCCCGGACATCTACAACATCCTCACTAAGCCGACTTGAATCTGAGCTACGATTCTGAAAGAGTCCGACCGAAATCAGATTTCCTTTTCGTGCCATATGCGCTTAGATGTGACTTTTTTTCCCTGTCTGTTCTCGGTGTAATGTGTACACACGATCATACGCCTTAGCTCAGTAGTCATAAACCCTTTCCTGCCTTATTTTCTCTGCTTCATGGCATGGAAACTTTCAAAAGCAACAATGATGTTGTCAGATGTGAACCTTCCAAGCACAAAAGTACGCATGATAGAGTCATTCACTAACAAAGAATTGGCAAGCGTTATTAAAAAAAATGACAACTAAAAGAAGCAACCCGACTCAAAAGAGTTAAAATTGTGTTTAGGTGTTGACCGTACATATTATAGTTAAATATGATATTTATTATATTATATGGAATGTTGTATTTTGTTTAAATATGAATATAAATGGTAAGTAGATTGAATTAAAATATTTTTTATATATATTTAAATTCATTTGATGTTAATGGTTTTTGACATTTCTACAGTGTAGATCGATAGTATCGCGGTCGAACTACACTATTTGCTAAACCAACACAACGATATAAATCGATTTGAAAACCTTAGTAGAGATATCCCTGGATATGCACAAAAGCATTAAAACTGAAATTTGAAATGTGGTTAAAGAAAGCGAAAATTGAAATTAAATGAGTCATGAAACTTGAAAGAGCAATTATGCAGATATATCAAAACTGAAAAATACATTAAAATTGAGAATGAAACTAAATTACTGACATAGTTTATACGTAACTTTCATAATTCTCGGGATCTGGGCTTGCCAATTTTCCTTCGTGTGTAGTCACTCTGAAATTTGGTTAGAAATAAATTCCATAACGGTATCCAACTGACACGTAATACATCTAATAACAATTATTTACTTATTTTGTAATCAATCCCAAGCACCATGACATGTTGTCATCTCATGTCACACCATCCAAAAAAGGGATGATACCTTCTTCGTTCATGAAGTTAGTTAATTCATCTCAATGCGCTCATCAATTAGTTTCTGTCGAATCTTGAGGTGGCTTGAAATCGTAATGAAACGCCAAACTGATGCCGATCGAGCGTCGGGACATCAAATTCCAGGTTAGTCATCCTCCTCTCTAAGCATTCCAGAAAGCTTTAATTTGGTTGTCGGTTCTTTCAACGACACATACCTTATCGCCAAATGGGTTGGTTTCAGCTGCATGCCTATCGATGGTCGCCGTACGTGGTCCTCCGAAAGGGAAGTATCTCAGTATCTGTTTTGTTCATCATCTCGTATTTCATTTGTCGCTAGCTACTTCGAGCTGTAATGTGCTCATCAGTCGGAAAATTCGGCCAATTTCTTTAATCAGAGCTGCTTTCCGCCAAGCCATATGGATGCTCGGTGGTGGACTCACGCACGGTCGACTCTGGTCTCGCGGAGAGGAATCATCCTGTGGCATCCCCTTCCGGCCATGAGCCATGGTTCATGAAACCGTATCGGATATCGTATAGGAAAAGTCAGCGATATGATATTTTATGATAAAACCGTGGTTTAATCGTAGTTCAACCGTTAGACTGTTAAATACCGCCTACCAGTTTAGCCTCTGATACTGGTATTTCGTAGTTGAACTGCCGGTACCGTACGGGTTCATGGACTATGCTTCCAGCCGATGTCACTCTAAGGAAGTGGTTTAACATCCGTATATAAATCTCTCTCAACAAATTAAATAGTTGGAACCAATTGATTTATAACACTCTGTATTCTACTCAAAATTGGACCCATTAAATGTGGGTGCTACTTAGAGCGGCGGATCTATGGCCTCTTATAGATCCAGAGTTATTATAATGCTTATAAAATTTTCGATGATAGGTATTCGGCAAGTGTTATTTAAATGTCGGCTCAATATTATTTGATAATATGATTGCGTAACTAGAAATATGATACAGTTGAACGTATCAAACCACTACTCTAAATTTAGACTAAAAATTCTAAGCCTCAATGATTTTCATTTGAAAAAAATGTTAAAACCTAAAAGTCAAAAAGTATAAAGTTTCATTGAAATAAAAAAAAACTCTCTAAACTAAAGCTCACTCTTCCACGCAAAACTCAAAAAAATTATCCAATCCCTGTAAAACAAAACAAGAATGAGGAGACTAACGAACCCGAGATGGATTCCTCTACCAGTCCACCGAGTGCTAGTTTTCTTTCATGTCTTTTGATTAAGAAAATATTTATGAACTAGTTGAGTCATCATTTAGATTGCTTCAGTTGAGTGCTACATTAGATCCTAACCGTTCTTTTCAGTCTTTTGATGAAGAAAACATTTAGAAAATTGTTCAAGAGTTTAGTCTTGAAACTTAGAAGGCTAAATATTAATGAACTAGTTGAGTCATCATTTAAATTGCTTCAGTTGAGTGCTACATTAGATCCTAACCGTTCTTTTCAGTCTTTTGATGAAGAAAACATTTAGAAACTTGTTCAAGAGTTTAGTCTTGAGACTTAGAAGGCTAAATATTTATGAACTAGTTGAGTCATCATTTAGATTGCTTCAGTTGAGTGCTACATTAGATCCTAACCGTTCTTTTCAGTCTTTTGATGAAGAAAACATTTAGAAAATTGTTCAAGAGTTTAGTCTTGAGACTTAGAAGGCTAAATATTAATGAACTAGTTGAGTCATCATTTAAATTGCTTCAGTTGAGTGCTACATTAGATCCTAACCGTTCTTTTCAGTCTTTTGATGAAGAAAACATTTAGAAACTTGTTCAAGAGTTTAGTCTTGAGACTTAGAAGGCTAAATATTTATGAACTAGTTGAGTCATCATTTAGATTGCTTTAGTTGAGTGCTACATTAGATCCTAACCGTTCTTTTCAGTCTTTTGATGAAGAAAACATTTAGAAACTTGTTCAAGAGTTTAGTCTTGAGACTTAGAAGAATATGAGATGCATTCTTTCGAGAATGAGCTATGATATTATGCCACTTGTGTGAGGAAGATAAAGTTTGTTCCCTTGAAAAATTACTAAAGAAACTGGCGGAAACAGGGATGCACACATAATACAAATTGATTTGTTGTTTGATTCGTCTAGGGTTGACCTTGCACGTTTCAACGGCTATCACAGAATGAACATTTTCAGCAATGGAACGTGTGAAAACGAATTTGCACAACAAAATGAGTGATGAATTTCTCGTTGAATGCTTAGCTATTTTCTTTAAGAGAGAGAGAGTATGCTATTGGTATAGATGGAGATCTATTATTGATTGATCCACCAAATTAAAAGACCTTGTACAATTGACATTATAATGAAACTTTAGTTGTTATATATTTTTGTTTATGGTATCTGATATTCTATTCAAATTTGACCCAATTCTTTACTATATCCTGAATTCGCCGCTGGCTACTCAACTTGGTTTAAGTTGCACTTGTGCCTGGTGGTGAGACTCCTTCAAGTTTGATGTTGTTGGTCGATCCCACAATAGAGCGCGGCTCATTGTCATGGCTCATTATGCTTTGTTTAGAACGCTGTGTTAGTGGGGTTTGACTTAAGTTCTTTGTTGCATACAACTAATGGCATTCAACAATATATTTGGTTTGGTTTTCCTCTTCTTGAGTGACCTAATGGTAAAAAAAGAAGAAATTGTTAGTAGCGTTGGTTATTGCTACATGTGGGAACTTGGGCGTTGACCGCATTCGAACACTTTCGCTTACCTCCTCCTGGATGAGATTTTGGTCATAGCACAAACGCAAGTGGCGGAGCTACGGTGTTTCAGAGACCTGCTCTTTGATTACTCGCTTCATCTTGAAATAGCTTACTTTGACACTTGTCTTGGAGAAAGGCCTGCAAAGTTTCCCCTGCCAGTACTATGAACTGTCTTCCAAATCAAAACCACCTTTGCTGCTGCTACTATGTCTCTGCTGAAATCTTCTGCCCTCGGGGAGATAAGGCCCGCCAGTCCACAGGCTGTTTCGCGACTGCGTGATGCCCGACGAAGGGAGTGCAGAGTACTGACGGCCATCCGTTCTTCTCCATAACTTCGAACTAAAAAATTCTGTCCCAGGGAGCTTGCAGCATGCCTTATTATCGGCTGGGCTGGTTTCAGGTATCCTTCCTCTTGATACAGCCAAGTCATGTGATATTTCATTCAATGCCATTTCCAGACCATGCACTCTCGTCTCCAAAGAGTTTATCCCACTCTGGGAGCTCCCCATGAAACTCTAAATTCCCAAGCAAACAAGTGAATTACAGTAAAAAAAAAATCAGTTCATTTCCTCATATTATAGGGACATATAAGTTTGACACTGCAATCTGCAAGACCATTTAGGCCTGCCTCAAGGTGAACATTTATTTTCACAGGTGAAATCTATCTATACATAATATTATGGCAATTCAAAATTTAATTTTTGCCACATAAGCACTTGGAGAGATCTCAAGTTGCAAAGGTGGATAATGTTTTTGCAAAAAAAAAATAGTTATTGACCTATTTATGGAGTTGTCCCTCTCTCTTCATTTAATACTTAATTCTCTTTTATCCAATAATTATTTTGCTTTTGTTCTTGCATTATATCTATAAATAATATATGGAGAGAAAGGTTATCAAACCAGTTTAGCAAGTGGAATTGTTTAACCAGTAGTACATCCTTTGCTAGCAAGTGAATGAGGATAAGTTGCTTGACTGAAAGGAGAGAAACAGAGGAACCGGTTTGTGTCGGTTCATGCTGGTTAATAAAATATGTAGAAATATCACAAATTCATATTGATATTTGAATAAAATATGATATTTCAAATAAAATTATATTTACTCATACTTAAATTCACTAAAACTATGTATTTTACTTAGAAATTCGTAAAACGATCATACCGATCATATCGATGGTGTCATGTCGATTTCATGACCGGTACCGGTTGAATGGTTCAACCGGTGGCATGCCGACCGACGTGACAATCATGATGGAGAGTGACATATATCACATTTTTTTTTTGCATTATATCGATGTACGCAACAGTATACTAATGTTCGTAGTGTGACATATATATCACACTTTTTAAACAAAAAAATATATGATTAAAGATTACTATGTAAATTTCTGCTTATTTACTGAAACTAATAATAATTTACATTTTAATGAATAATTTAAACAAATACACAATAATAATAATATTTTGTCGATAATGTGTGAAAGAAACTTGATCAAGAAATAATAGTTATTTATTAAAAAAGTTTCTTATTCATTCTCATCAAGTGAAAAGATATGAATCGCATGTGCATTATTTATAATGTATCCTAAGTTCACATTACTAATATTTTCTCTAGGTCATGTTGATTGAGCATGCTCTATTGAGGTTTTACATCATATGCTAAGAAATTTTCTTTTCAGACTTGGAGTTATTTATTGTTAAAGATTATAAATTGAATTTTCCAAAATGACTTGAGTATAATAGTTGATGAACTTTGACTTCATATTCTAGGATGAGACACGAGATCCCTTGAAAAATGAAATGTGTGAAATTTAGGTAATAATAAACATTAATGTCTTACTTCACATATATAACAAAAAACATTTATAGTTACAATAGTGTAAACCGAGCTATTGGGTCAAAAGAAGAATATTTAATAAATATTAGTTTAGTAAGAAAATTGTAACCAGTCTATATAGTTGTGAGCCTCTGATTTCATACCAAATTTGGCAATAACAAAAAAAATTGATATCATATTTCACCCAAGGAGCTGAGTTCAAATGTATTAATTAGTATTGAAAGTAAAATAAACTCTCTGTATATATATGTTTAGATATTAACAATAGATGTGTCTACAATACATCTAATAATTTAAATACATGTGAAAAGCAACAATGTTTGTATGAACTTTTAAATTTTGCTACAAAATATTTTGTTAAAAAATTATAAGTTAATTATTCAAGGAATACATAATTTTGAATGCACCTGAAATATTGTCTGTCGTATACACACTTTACCAATTATTAATATAAGTAATGAAATTTTTGTTCTAGAACATAAACCAAATATAAAAAAAATTTAGCGAATGTACATTCAAATAGTTGAAAAAATTATACATTGAAGGAACATGTTAAGATGAGAACCTTCGATAGTGTATATGAATGCCTTGGATTCAGATTCTAAACAAAAATCTAGACAAAAGGCATGGGTTGAGGGTTAGTCCAAACTTAAAATATTAGCAATTGATATATATTGTAAGATAATAATAATTTGTATCTTGATAGAAAAATTGTCGTAAGTTGCTATACTAAGACTTCATGAACATCAACAATAAAAATGAGTGAGGTTTAGAGAATTTAATCATTATAAGGGATTCGATGTGTGTCAAATTTCAATTAGGATAATTATAATTTATCCAGTAATCAAATATCTTTTCCAATAATTTGAACTCTGATTAATTGACTGAGAGTTCGTACAAACTCGAGAATCATGAATTGATATATGTTGTATAAGATAATAAATTTGACGGTCTTGGTGGAAAATTTTTTATATACGATCCTAAATGGGACGTGATAAAACTTTACGACATGATTTGTGATAAGAGAATAAAACATCACAAGCGAGTGTGCTAACTATTAAATATTAAGAATTTTCGATATAGGCATACCACGTATTCACTTATGAAGCGAGAACATAAAATGTATACAAGATCCAAAAAATTCAAATATGTAGATAAGTTAACTAATATAAATAATAAAATGAACTTCTCCGACCAACTGACCGGGTAAAAAACTAGCGTTGATATAAAGGCTTACGAGTTACTAACTCCAGGAGAAGGTGGATGTTTAACATCACATTAATTAATACTTGGCCAATCCTTGCGGTAAAAATTGACTTTCTCAGCATTGTGAAAGACAAGTAGGGACAATCTCATTTGACAAACTAGTCCCAAGTCGGAACGGAAGATGTGAATGAAGTATGAAGTAAATGACACCCAACAAACAACAGCTAACTGACAAATAAGAGTTTTTACTGGGATCCAGACTTGGGAAATTGCTCGAATTTGACTTTGATGTAGAGAGGTAAAAAAGTAACCAATACAAAAGATGAGGAATCTTGTACCTGGAGAAGGTCCAAAAGATTGGATTGCTGGGTTTCAATCTGAACAAGTTGTTGACGTATCAAGGACAGATCCTCCATCTCTTTGGGATTCTCACACATATCTTCAGCAGGATTGTTCAACCCGGCTCCTCCTTTGGCTGCGTAACACATTTCATCATCACCCTCCTCATCGTAGTCATAAGGAACCACCCTCGACCCAGATCCGAACCCACCAAATTTGTGATGACCAACGCGGTTGCTGCTGCTGCTGATGAGCACCCGCTTTGTTTCTGGGCTCGAGCCCCCATTTCTAACTTCCTCAGCCGATTTCAGGACCTTTGGTTCTTGTAACTTGATGTCATCCTCCTCACAGGCCTTATCTTGTGCTGGTACAGCAACTTCAGTTTTCCCATTGGAAGAAGGCCTCATGTGGTCCACCTTCTGAAGCATTGCCTTCACAGGGCTTTGCTTCTTGGCTGTGGTCACCACCGAAGAAGCATCCGATGGAGGGGACCTGTTGGGCGGTGGGAAAGACTTCCTTGATGAAGGAGGGGGTGTTTTATAGCCAACGTTGGTAGAACTTCTGATGCATCCGCCATTACCATTATCTGGTCCCCGTGAAGAAAACCCCAAAACAAAGAAAGCAGAGAAAAATGGATGAAGTCAAGCATTTGGAATATCTGTCCCCAATATTCAATGGGCTAAAAGAAAAGGCACTCAAAAAGCTCAAACATCATTACATTATGATAGAAGAAGAACACTATCCATTGAAAATATTTCCTTAGCCAATTCCTTGGTTTTCATGAACGACACGACCAATTGACAGCCATTAAAGAAACGCCATGAAATGCTTCTTACCTCCTCCTGAAGAAGATCTAGAGAGACTTGAAACTGAAATCTCTTGGTCAGAACCACCATCTACCTCCTTCCACAAGTCCAGGGCACGATTCATAGTTTCTCGAACAAGCTTTACCTGTTAGATATAGGGAAAAAGAACCAAGCCAGAAACTCCATTTTTCAATTCCCCAAACGAACGCCCAATTTCGAAGGAATCGAACGAGTTTCTTACCTTATCAAACCTCCTGTTCTCCAAAGAGCTCAAACACGAAGTTCTATGATCCTTGGCTGCTTCTTTCTCCGCAACCGCTATCTTCCCCAATGCCTCGGCAGCAGCCTTCCTGGCCGCCCAATCTTCAGAGCTCAATAGGTCAACCAAACAGGGAACCAACCAATCCAAAACGTTCTTACTCGCTGCGCCTCCAACGCCCACAATATTCCCAATCACGCTCAACAAAGCGGCTTTGGCCTTGAATCCTTCTCCCTTCACCAGCTTGCCAAGCCTCGGCAACACCTTCCTCAGCTGCTCAACTCCCGGCTCCGGCGCCGCCTCGATCGCCGCCGCCAGGCACATCGCGGCTCCGATCTGAGAGTTCGGATCCTGCTCCACCGTCAGCATCTCTATAAGCGGCTTCGAGATGGTAACAAAGGGATGCTGCGTGATTTGAGACGACATGGCGGCGGCGGCCTCGACGCAGGCCGACCGGACGGCGGAATCCGGGTCCCGGAGGCGGCGGACGACGGTGGACACCATCTTGGAGAGGTGAGGAGACAGCGAGTTCCCGTGGGAGTGGGAGAGGAGAGTTAACAGGCCGACGCATTGCCTTCGGACGGGAGATTTGGAGGTGGAATCGGTGTTGTGGATACAGTTGAGGAACGGAGAGAACGAGTCGTAAGTCAAGCTCCGAGCGATCGACTCGAGCTCGGCCGTGGCGACGGCGAGGGTGTCCCTGTCGGAGAGCTTGTTCAGGCAGGCTATGACTCGTTGCTTGAGATCGCTGTTGGCAGGACTCGCCGACGGAGGCGCTGAGGTCGGCGCGGATCGTCCCTGCGGAGACATCGGTTTTCTACTTCAAAATCTAATTTCCTCTACGGCCGACTAATTGGTTCGCATTTGAGCCACCGCTGACGCCGCCGGTAGACTTTGCCGGTAGATTTTAGGGATTTGGCGGTATATTTTGACGGAGGGAGAGAGATGGCGGTTGCTTGGTAGCAAGTTTAGCGAAGTTTCGGGGAAATGAGCATTTAAATGTTGCCAGCAGCAGCGAGGCAATAATTATTATTTATTTACAGTTATTATATTATTTTTCCTCAAGTTCCTCGACTGAATTATTTTCCACTGCAAATGATTTATTAGTTATATGAGAATTGTTTATGAAAAACGAAAGTGGTTAATATATATGTTTTTTTTGGATAAAATCAGAATATTGCTGCTGGAATGAGTTGGGAAGTGTTATGGGTTTTCTGGAACTTTTTGTCTTATTTCCCCACTTAACATCGCATTAATCATTCAATTTATTCCTTTAATTAATAATTAAATGTGATTGTTTATAAAACGATATAATAACTAAAAATTTGATTTTAAACAAAACGATATCAATATATTTTGAAAAATGTATATAGTCAAATCGTTAACTTTTTAAGCGGTTCAATATTAGTGAACTTGTTTTTAAGAAGGTTAATGGCCTTTGATGTACCACTTCATGTAAGTATTAATTTGATTTCTGAGAACGTACAATCCAAATTCACGTGGTCATGTTACATCGATCTCAAACCCTAAACTTAACATTGCACTTTAGGAATATCAAAGATCCATTTACAAAGAGTAGAATGCACATAACTATGTTAATAATATCAATATAAAGTGAAAACCACAAGCTAATATATCATCTAATCTAATGCATGCTAATAGAGCAACATAATCTACTTGAGACATGGTTGATTTTGGGGGTGGGGGTGGGGGGATCAATTTGAAGTCGAGACAGAAAGAGAGCCGGAGTAGTGAAGAACTATAAAGTTCTCGATGGTTGCTAACCACCAGAAAGGTTGGGAGTTATTGGAGGGAAGTCTTATTAAACGAGAAGTTCAAAACAAAAAATCAGAGTACGAGAATGAGCTATCGAGTCAATTAACCCCCATAGTATGGAAATGTGTGACGATATTGGAATTAAAAGAAGTCCCTTAAAATTGAAATAGGCGTAAAAATAAACTACTTGAGGATACTGATTGAGGAGTATTGGATTAGAATTTATATCAGCTCGATTCGAGTCGAAAACATGGAATTACCTCTTTGCCTTTTCTCTCCATCTAAAATTGGAGTTATCTACATTTAGAGCTTCTCTCTACTTTCCCTTTCAAACGTCTTCTCCCAAACTTCTTCTAGAGTTCGAGGCGCCTATCCACTAGCCTTGTCCTCAAACTCTCCTAACAACCCAAATGAACCTTCGTCGTTTGGGCTCGAAGAAATATTAAGAAGTAAAATTAAAATTAAATAGAAATTAAAGCTCGACATAATCTCTTTTCTTGCATTGCATGGCATTTGCTCGAGGATGACAACTTCTATTTAACTCACGCGACCTGATCTAATATGTTTTGCATTTAATTTTGTTCAACCGTTGTGTCTGTCTGGGGAATTACTTCTTCTAGTCATGCACTCATGCCTCACCTAACTATAATCTTGAGTGGTTCTATCTCTTCTCTTTTTCTTTTTAATTGGTGTTATTTTTTACTCATCGATTTTGATTGCTCGTGCTTAAATTAAAGCGAGCATAATCTCACAAATAATTTTTGTTCATTGGTAAGAGCATTCTCTCTTGTTTGTTGTTGATACGCAATGATCATATTTTTGTTTCCTTTCACACAAAGCAAATACACATTTTGATATCTTTATTATGAAAGTAAATTGAGAAGACTATTGTTCATATCAAATGAGATACATGCATTGATACTAAACATTTTGTTGTTCGATACAAAGAGCATACTATTAGGTTAATCAACAACCTCTCCTTTGGATTGCATAATCCAATGTGTTCTCCATGTTCTTGGTATAGAGTCATGCATTCAATCGACATCGGAACTAGATCAATTTTTCTTTGCTCAAAAGTATGTTTCCCTGGAAGGTTGTTTAATACAAAGAAGGCCAATTGTTTTTTTTTTTATTTAAATTCATATGCAAATTATGTCATGTAATCAATTAATTGGCATGCCTTTCTTGTGTTGGAGCCAGTTCTATGAAAACTCACGAGTGAAATGAACGAGGAGCTATTAAAACCTTTTACGAGGGAGGAGATATGGGGAACACTAAAGAAAATGGGGCCATTGGAAGCCCCTGAGGCAGATGGCAAGCCAACAATGTTCTTTCAAAAGAATTGGGACATAATTGGCGATGGCATCACTAGTGCACTGCAAGGCTTTCTGGAGGAAGGATCCTTCCCTCAAGCACTCAACCACACTCTATTAGCCCTAATCCCCAAAAAGAAATCTCCAAAGGGGCCAGTCGATTTCAGACCTATAAGCTTGTGTAAGGTACTCTACAAAGTCTTATAAAAAGTGTTGGCAAATAGACTTAAACAAATCTTGGATGACATCATCGTAGACACACAAAGTGCGTTTGTGCTGGGGCGCCTCATAACATACAACATCATCGTCGCTTTTGAGTGCTATCATTCTATGAGCCTAAGACATGAAAGAAAGGGTTTATGGCTGCTAAACTGGATATTACGAAAGCATACGATAGAGTTGAATGAGATTTTGTAGAATCAATCATGGCGAAGTTGGGCTTTGCCAGAAGATGGATAAACATTATTATGTCTAGCGTTTCTGCGGTCTCTTTCTCGATAATGGTCAATGAAATTTAAAAGTGCAGCTCCAGTTATCTTACACCTACTATTTGTGAATGATAGTATCCTCTGAGGCCTTTACGAGGCCAAGTCAGGTCAATAGGTGAATCAAGTGAAGTCCGAACTATCATTCAATCCAAACATAAAAAGGGAAAACCAGAATTCAGCTAGCTTCGATTCTAGAAATGAAGGTGGTATAAGCTCACAAGAGATATCTTGACCTACCTACTAGGATTGGACGAGGCAAGAAAGCAGTGTTTGGCTACCTAGTAGACGGAGTTCTGACAGAAAGTGAAGCATTGGGAAAGCAAACTCTTGTCAATTGGAGGGAAAGAGATCCTAATAAAGTCAGTGGTGCAGGCATAAATGACTTACGCAATGTCCATGTTCCGGATTCCTGTGGGAACCATTCAACAGATCGATCCAAAGTCTAATAGCCAATTTTTGGTGGGGTCAACAAGAACGAGGAGAGTAGAACTCATTGACTACTGTGGTCAGAGTTATGTAAATCAAAGAAATGGGGAGGGCTAGGATTTTGGGGACTTACAATGCTTCAACAAGGCTCTTCTTGGAAAACAACTATGGTTTATGGAGATTAATTGTAGAAATTGATGATGCGAAAGATGAAATAACACGAGAACACAAGATTTTACGTGGTATCCTCGATCGATTGATTGATCGAGACTAATCCACGGTGAGCTCGGAACGAACTCACGGCTGACCTTTTATTGAACGACTACATTGTGACGGCTTGCTTACGACAATCTCTGTAGCTAAGCTTATATAGAGAACGACTTAGGGTTAAAACCCTAAAGACGACCAAGTTCCCTCTTTTACCCGGACAAGGAAACAAGGGACTTGTTGGACAAGGAATTAATTACATTTTGATTAAGTAATTAATATCCTCAACACTCTCCCTCAAGCGAAGACATGAGTGACAAGAATGTCGAGCTTGAAAAAGGAAATGTGACGAACAAGCATGACAAGCTTGAACAACAAAACTCGAGATGAATAACATCTCTGACGAGGTTGATTTGGAGACGACTGACTCTCTCCCTTGAACAACCTGACGAAGACGGTTGACTGCATCTTCTTGGACGTCGTGATGGAGACGATTGACTGCGTCTCTTGAACGACCTGACGGAGACGGTTGACTGCGTCTCTTGAATGACTTGACGGAGATGATTGACTACGTCTATCCGTATGATATGGTGGAGATGGTTGACTGCATCTCCTGAACGACTTGACTCCCTATTCTCCCCCTCAAGCTGACGCATGAACGACGTATGTTCATACTCAGTTTGAAAGTCTTTACCCTGCAACTCACAAAGCTTGACTTCCTTTGGTAGGCGGCTTTGTGACATGACGTTGGCAGATTGACATTGGCGGAGATGCAAGACGACGTCGGGAAGAAACCTCCGATCGGCGATGAAGGCTTGACTGACTGCCAATTCAGGAGCTGCCGATGATGCTTGACTGGTTGACTGAATACTCGCTGTTGAGTTGAGATTAGAGCTCGGAAAGTCAGACGTGAATTGCCATGATGTGATCGTGCTTCTTAACGACCCGGCCGCAACGAAAGATGAGACGACGGCCAATTCAGTTCGACTATAAGCTGAAGCGACGATGATCGGAATCAAGCCTTTAAGTAGCCGCGGACTAAGTGAAGAAGGAGTTCTTCCCGGCTTCACAATACTTACCCCTGAATGGTAGCGCCGCCAGCTGGGTTGAAGAGACGATGATTGACGGACAGACCAGTGATCTTTCGGCGAGGCTGGTTGATTGATCGGTCTTCAACAAGGAGTCGACTGAGATAGCGACGCCCTCGATGCGGGAATTGAGCCCTTCTTGTGGCCCACGACACACGCCGACTGCGGAGGCGGACAACGCCAACGAGACAAGCGGACAACGCCAACGAGATGAGAGAACAACGCAAATAGCAAGGCGATCTGAATCGCCAAGGACGGCAGTTGGGCGATAGAAAACTCATGGACGGATGCAATTGACTGGTGATGCCGCTAGCAACTTCTTTTCCATTGTTGCTAGAACTGGAGTCTACGCACATCGTGACTGATTGACGCAGACGAAGAGACAAAAGACGGAGAGTTGCTGAAGCACAGAACACCCTAACACAGAATCGTGTTTAGCTCTGATACCATGTAGAAATTGATGAAGCAGAAGATGAAATAACACGAGAACACAAGATTTTACGTGGTATCCTCGATCGATTGATTGATCGAGACTAATCCACGGTGAGCTCGGAACGAACTCACGGCTGACCTTTTATTGAACGACTAAATTGTGACGGCTTGCTTACGACAATCTCTGTAGCTAAGCTTATATAGAGAACGACTTAGGGTTAAAACCCTAAAGACGACCAAGTTCCCTCTTTTACCCCGACAAGGAAACAAGGGACTTGTTGGACAAGGAATTAATTACATTTTGATTAAGTAATTAATATCCTCAACACTAATCACAAGACCACAATCTTTAACAACCAGAGTCTTGAAGGCCAAGTACTAGTACTGGATCGCGAGACTGGCTTGGGAGTGGTTATTAGAGACGGCCGGGGAGGGCAAATTTTTTCTGGCCGATGTGAAGAGAACACGCCGGCAATGGGTTTCGGAGATCGCGGAGGCGATGGCGATGGAGTTCGGGGTGGAGCTGCTAGCAGATTGGTTCAGTTTTCTCCCAGGTGAGATTCAAACAGACTGCCAGGCGAACGGAGAACAACTTTGGAGTTGGTTCATGTCTGTGAGGAAGTAAAGAAAACGACTTTAGCTCTAGGCCAGGACGAGTCTCTTGGTCTTTTGTGCGCCGCCAGTTCAACGAACCAACCCACTGCATGGCTTATGTGGATTGTGGCTGGGAGGAAGAGAAGATTTGGGTACCAATTTTTTTAGTCTCTTGTTTGCAAAAGGATGTTTGTGTAGGTTTTTTCACCTACTTAATTAAATAAAAGCAGAAGTTTCCTTTAAAAAAAAAAATCACCATCAAGACCAATAAAAGGACAATAATATTCTTTAGATTTCGGAGTTAGATGAAATGAAACTTTAATCCTAATTTTGCTCATATAGTGGCCCACATGTCCATTAGGAAGAGAGACAACCCATCCAATTTGCAGGTGGTGGGTTTCTATATGTAATTATCATCTTAAATACTCACTAATTCATGAACCGAAATGGCAAAATGTCATTTCCAAAGATGCCCACTTGATAAATCAAAGACATGATGCCGAGTTCTTACCAGATTACAAAAGGCATTAGCTAGCGGTGGTGGAAAACAAAACCATCCCAATACAACAGGCTCCGTTCGAAACAACTTCATATTCATACTATAGGTACCACAAGCCAAAATAGCAAGTGTATAACTGTTTTCTATAATGAGGGATCATGGCATGTCCATTTGAAATCATTCAACTCTTATGATTTTTTTACAAATTTACGGTTTACTCTTTTAGCATTGACACAAAACCCAAGAAAAATACATGAGTCCGGCCGATATACCATGGTTTGGTGGTTCAACCGCTAAAATAATGACCGGTATAATGTGGTTTGGTGGTTCAACCGCTAGACCTCAACCGGTGCGGTGTTTAGGCCGTTTTATTCCTACTGTTCTGATTTTGTTTTTCGTAGCAATTTTCCTGTTCAACTATTAGCACGATTTTTTTATCCTTGGTTTTATTAAATAATCGCAAGGTGTTTCTTGATTTTATTAAATAAAATCAATTTCATCCATTCATTCTTTTCTTAAATAAGTTATGTTACTTTTTGGCAGAAATATCACGTTTATACTTTTTAAATGTAAAAAAGCAACTCATAAAAAGTTAGAAGTATGGTTGGAATACAAAACTCCATAATGTCACTCAAACTATCTCGGGAATCTCACATGAAAATAAGATTTAACAATCACCCATTTTGAGTGATAATTCTATAAAAAAACCAAACAAAAAATCCTTATATATAGTTAGTAAATACTCTGTTTAATACACGTATATATGATCGTATGTATTTTATCCATTTAAAACTTATGTATCCGTATTATGAGCAACTAGAAAAGAAAATTCCGTTTCTTCCAATTCATTTCCCCCACCTGAAGATTTTTTTCCGATGAATGGGTGGTTTTATTCATCAAATACGATCAGAGTTTTACAAACAAAGGCTTTGTGACCCCACCTGAAGATTAGCTGAAGGCATGTGAGACTTTGGATTCAAGAATACACAATCCTCCAGAAGCTGCAGGAAAATCACATGTGTAGAGTAGGCTTTTGGCAAATTGATGACTAGAACAAACCCAAAGAATATGCTTTGTATAACAAGATGGTTTTGCATGGAATCAATCACCTTATTGTCTGTGTTGCAAAGCGATCTGTTCTTTTCCACTTACCCCCAACAACCCAATTGAGTACAAGAAAGCCATCTTGATTTGATTTGGATCTCAATGTTGGCAACTGTAGTACAAGAAAGCCTCCCCTTTTCCAGGTTCCAACCAACTTCAGTAAGACAAAGATTCCATGGCCATTTGGAACACTATTATGCCTTTAATATGAGTCCATTGTCCATGATATCCAAAAAGGCAGAGAAGGGTAAGTTTGCCAGTTTGGTGATGATATGATAAGGATATGGGTAACGAAGAGATGGAAGTTGAGAAAGACACTTAAGTATATATACATATATGGGGCAATGTGAATGGTCCATCTTCATGTTGTTTGACTTGGAAGCCAGAGAACCATATCTCATAAGACATGTCTTTGGATTGCTATGCCTGAAAACCATTGAATTCTGCCGTTATAGTTGCCTTCTTTTCTTTTTTTGGTTTCTTGCAAGCGAGCTCTTCCCATTTCCATGTGTGTTTTCCCCCTTCCCCATCATCACATGTGGGTTTCAGGGATGGAATGAGATAAAAACAAAAACCACAGTAGGGTTGATGGCCAATGGGGGAATTCGTGTGGACAAAGCAGTTAAAATCGGGATTTTACCTAAAATCGAAAACCGAGGTAAAATCGGGATCTTAAAATCGAATCGTAAAATCGTAGGATTTTAAGTTCCATATAAAAACAAGCACTGAATAATATCAATAAGATAAATCATTAATAACACAAAGACACAAACCACTTAATACGATAAATCTCAAGATTAATACTCTAATTCAATACAAATACAAACTGACTAACTTGCATCTAGACTTCTAAAGTTCTAGTAATAGTAGTTAAGACTTAAAAATTAATAGTACAGATCACATAAGGTCATTTGGATCAATATTAATATCCAAGTCTTCATCCTCGTCATCATTGCCATCCTTGAAATTGCAACTATCCTCCATACCATCATTATCATCATCATAAAATCCTTGTTGAATTGCTTGCCCAATGATATCAATATCATTAGTTTTGCTCCCATGAGCACTTGAATTATCTTCGACACTAACCATATTCGTACCATTGCTACCATCTCCAACAGGTAATTCAGTAATATCAACATGTTCTTCAACCAACACTTGACCCTCATGTTCATTCTCTGCTCCCTCTTCAACTATCCATTCATCATCAGAATCAATCTCCGCAAATATATCCTCCACTTTTTTACATGATCTCCGCATCAACCTCGAGTTATACATCACATACACAAGGTTGTTCATCTTCTTCTGGAGCAAGCAATTTCTCTTTTTAGTATGAAGCTGCAACAATGAATAAATATCAGCAATAGTACACATACATATGAGTTATTTAAACATACAAAAACCTTGAAAACTTACTCTCTCAAACACACTCCAATTTCCTTCACACCCAGAGGCACTACAAGTCAAGCTTAGAATCCGAATAGCAAACTTTTGAAGCTCCGGAACATCATCCCCAAAATCAGACCACCAATCTGCAAGATGCTTTCTATCTAACAAATCCATTGCTCCATAAGAATTGAACATTCCCGAAGCACGGTGAAATTCTGTTAGTTGTTCCATAATTTTCAGTTTCTCATCACGGCCTCTTGCTAATCTTTCCACTGTTTCATATAACCCAACTTTTAATTGCTTATCATTATGGTTGAATCCTTTAGCATGGTGAACTCGAGGATTCAGCCAATGAGCAGCCAAGTGCAAAGGCTTCCCCATCTGTTCTTCCCACCTTTTATCAATTATTTTGATAATTGGTTTATATCTGCAGCAACATACATAAAGAATCAGCAGCAGAATTGAAGGAATTAAGCAGCAGCAGAATTCAAGGAATTAAGCAGCAGCAGAATTGAAGAACCAGCAGCAGCAGACATTGAAAATTTAGTTGCTTTTACCTTTTTTCCATGTTACTGAAGTTACTTTTAATCTTCAATTTTGCTTCACACAATTCTTGGAACAAAAATGGCATTGATGGCTTCTCTTCTCCATCAACAAATCTTAACACTTTGACCACAGGCAGAGCAGCTCGGAGACAATTCACCACATTAGTCCAAAACCTTCCATCTAAAGCAATTCCTTGAATCCTTTTCCCCTCTTGAATGCTTGCAAATGAACTTTTCCTCCATTTTTCTGAAGCAAACATAGTCATTAAGTTGCCCTTTTGTTCACTAAGGCGAGCAAGACTCAAATACGAAGTTGCAAATCTTGTAGCGCCAGCTCTGACCAGATCTCTATCATTTGTAAACTCCTTCATCATAGCAATCAGATTAGTTCTTGCATAGATGAAATTCGAAATCTTCTTTCCCTTCGAAATGGTTGTCTTGTGAACCGGTAAGTGTTTCTCAAAATCCTCTAACACTAAATCCAAACAGTGAGCTGCACACGGAGTCCAAAACAAATGCTTTCTCTTTGCCATTAGTCTTTCTCCAGCAGCTTTATAAGCAGATGCATTATCGGTGACAACTTGAACAACATGTTCTTCTCCTACCTTCTCTACAATATTATCCAACATCTGAAATACCTTTTCTGTATTCTTAATGACGCCTGATGTATCTATAGACTCAACAAAGCTAGTCCCTCTTGGGCTATTGACCAAGAAATTACAGATTGATCTTCTCTTCCTATCAGTCCATCCATCGGACATGATAGTGCAACCCACCGATTTCCATTCCTCTTTGAAGACAGCAAGTTTTCCTTCTACTTCCTTAAGCTCTTCTTTTAACAAAGTCTCTCTTAGCTCATGGTATGATGGTGGTTTAAAACCTGGACCATGTCTAGCAACGAGCTCAAACATTTCACCAAACAAATCATCTCTAGAAGCATTAAAAGAAAGGGCGTTGTTGTAGAACCATCTTGCTATACCCCTACAAGCATCATGTCGAAGATCTTTTTTCAACAATTGACTCATGGTTGATTGACGACGATTTGGAAGAGGCGGATTGCTATTGGAAATTTTCTTTCCCCTGTTTGGTATACTGGACTGAACTGACTCTACAGGAGCAGAAGCTTCGCTACTGTTAACCCCAAGACCAGGGCGAATCAAATTTTTTCGTACCTCTTTTGCTTCCAAATTGAAGTCCAAGAGCTCCAGCATTTGTCGTCTCACATCATCAGGAACACTCGGACAGGGCGCCGCGTTTTGCTTCGTCCCAGCGAGATGATGCTTGAGACGAAATGCCCCACCAGAAAGCAGCTTAGAGCAGAACTTACATTTAGAAGACTTTGCATCTGCGTTTACATCGAACACATATTGCCAAGCTGGGTCGATTCTACTCCCTTGTTCATTCCTCTTACGTTTTGATAGCTGTTCCGTGGATTGTGTTGCTGAGGCAGAGGCATCATCAGCAGGCATGATTCTCGGCTGCTGATTCTCGGCTGCTGATTTGGGGTATCGACAGACAGAGACCAGAGGTGGAAGGTAAAGGGATATAGCTCTAGGGTTTTTGATTTGGGGAAGTAATTGAACCGGCAAATAGAAAGGCCCGACTTTGGGAGAAAAATAGTAGTCGACCCGACCGGTTCAATTGGTCCAGAATGTGCAATTTAACCTGGAACTCAAAATCGGTAAAATCCCTTTAAAATCTAGATTTCACCGATTTCAGCGATTTTGATCCCGATTTTATACGATTTTAAGGTCCGCCGATTTTATAGTAAAATCAGGATCGGGATAGCTAAGTAAAATCCTAAAATCCTACGATTTTAGGATCAAAATCCCGATTTTGACTGCATTGCGTGTGGATAGAGTTGTTTATTATTGGACATAGGGCTGCAAATGAGTTGAACTGCTCGCAAGCGGTTCGGCGCTCGATTCGAGAAAAGGTGGTTCGAAATTTGGCTCGTTTACTAATAAGTCGAGTTTGAGCTTAGCCTTCTGCAGCTCGCGGAGCTCGCAAGCTAGCTCGACTCGGTGGCTTGTTGATCTCAAATCGTGAGTTGGCTCGTTTAGTGCTCTTAAGATGTCTAAACTCTCAACATTGTGGTTAGAGAGCCAACTCGATTACCGATTTATGAGCTAATTGATCTATATGAGTTTGATTTTGATATATTCAGTGGCGGATACATGCGTGTTTATGGGTGTCCCAGGACACCCCTAAAATTTGGAAACACGATTATTCAACATAAAATAGTAGTTTACGTATGAGAAAAAAATGTTTAAGTGGTAGTGGGACACCTTTAAAATTTGAGAAAATAATTATCCAACCTCTCGTAGTAGTTTGCGTATTGGTACAAACAATATTTAAATAGTAGTTTATGTTATTTAAACTTGGGACACTGCCACTATTAGTTAATATATTTTCAATTACGCTACAAATCATTTGTTATTGTGTTTTAGATCCAAATATAATAGTGAAATGTTATTCTTATCTCAAATTATTTTCAAAACCTAACGATTAAACTCAATTACGGGATACCCTTGTCTAGTAGGATATGTCGGGAGATATTTGTTGAGCAGTAAACACCGAATGCATTTTACCATTTTATGAAATACGTCTAAACTTTTAATGTAAATTTTATTAGTTAGATATTTTCAAATTTTCAAATTATTTAATTTAATGCTAATATTTATTTTAATTTAATAATTTATAGAGGACACCCCTACGTAGAATGCCTGGATCCGCCACTGGATATATTATAGGATTGATAAATTATATATCTCACCTTATATGAACGTTAACACATAGATTATTTGAGCAAATATGTCTTATTTAATTGGGTTATGGGTATAAAATGCCCCTCTACTATGTCATTTTATCAAACATGCCCCTATACTTTGGAAAAATTATCAAACATGCCCTTGTGTTAAAATTTCCGTTGAAAAATCGTCAATCATGGTTGAACCAAGATCTACAGAACCCGACATCGGCAAATGGGAGGGGAAATATCACTTTTTTCCCCTGTTTTTTTTTTCTAGGTCTCGCCGAAGTGAAATTATTAGAATTATTTGGCTATAAAAAGAACCAAAAAAATTCTAAAGTGAAATTATTAAGGATATTTTTTACATTTGTGTCTCCCAAATCAAAGTTCGACTGCGGTTAAAAGGTTTTTCGGATGAAAATTTTAACAAAAGGGTATGTTTGATAATTTTTCCAAAGTAGAGGGGCATGTTTGATGTAAAAATTAATAGAAGGCCATGTTTGATAAAACGACATAGTAGAGGGGCATATTATACCTATAACCCTATTTAATTTTAAAAATAAATTAAATATCATAGATTGCTTTGATACCATGAAATAACATAATTTCACTAGTTAAAATTTATTAACTAAATAGGTTGATACCACAAAGTACAAAATGAGATCAGTTAATATTGAACGCTTAAATTTTATTATTATTATTTTAATCTTGACACTAATCACATGTATCATGTATGAGATACAAAATGAATATATCAAATACGAGTCAAGATTTTATTAAGCAAGCTAGCTCAAACTCGACTCGACTCGGCTTGTTAATAAACGAGCTGAGCTCAAACTAGGGTAAAACTCGACTCGGCTCTGCTCATTTGCAGCCATAAATGTGGAAATAACGTGATTCAAGTTAATCCAAAACATGAGAAGTATGAATATATAATGTAAAAATTGAGATAACATGGACCAAGAACAAGGCAGGGCGGGGCATGGTCGGAAGTAGATACGCATGTCTCATCGCATGCTATTACGGGTTGGATAATACCCATCCCATCGCGGGTTAGGTCGGAATAATAACCAACATGGCAGGTTCAAATTGCCATCTCTAGGGTCAATAAACACCAGGTTGCGTGAATAATCATCACTGTTTGCGTAATAACAACCATTATTACGCGAATAATCACCAATATAACATAAATAAGCATAAATATACATGAATAAACACAAAATTATGGTATGTTGTTGATAAGTTTGACATTTATTTATACATGTGGCCCTTCTTCTTGTACAACTTCATAGTTCATATCTTTCACATTAATTATTGTCAGTGACGAAGCCAGATATCTGAAGGGGGGGGGGGGGGGGGGGGTAAAGGCTTACAACCTAATCTATTTTTCAAGTTTGTTACAAAATTTACAAGTAAATTTACACGCTTTTGAGAGTAGGGGGGCTATAGCCCCTCCTGGCTATAAGGTGGCTCCGCCACTGCGTTGTGGGACTATGGTGATTCTGGTGAGAGGAAGCCGACAGGGAGTAGGAAGAGAATAAAGGCTTACAACCTAATCTATTTTTCAAGTTTGTTACAAAATTTACAAGTAGATTTACATGATTTTGAGAGTTGAGGGGGGGGGGGGGGGCTATAGGCCCTCCTGGCTATAAGGTGGCTCCCCCACTGATTATTGTTTTAACTTTCAAGAGAACTAACTATGGTTACCTATTGTAGAGATCGAGTTGTTTCATCTTTCACATAAATAAGCATAACTACGACTAGCATGGCACGACATTGTTAGAGCACCGTATAAGTACGTGCACGATATATGTGAGTCAGCCCGACATGAACATGAATATTATGAGTGGTGTCGGGCCTAATGTTTTGAGACACGACATGACACAAAAATATTCATTGATTGAAAATAAATAAAAAGATAATTAAAGTTCAAATATTACAAAATATGACTACAAAAATGATTATGTATTGTTGTTAGAAGTGACCATAGATATATATGTAATAACTACCATAAATAAAAATGGTCAAATAATTAAAAAAACACGTGGAGGCCAAATCACACATTATATACTTCCAATTTTCTTCACCCCTTATTTGTTACTTTTCTCAAATTCTCAATTAATACTTTCATTCTCCATTAAATTTTCTCCCTATTTTATTTTCTTTATTTTCAATAAGCACGAATATGAGCACGAGACATAAAATTTGAAAAACGAACTGGAACGAGACGACATAAAATTTGAAGGGTCGTGTCAAGCATGAAACTGGATAAACGAGCCCAAAACGTACCCGTGTCGTGGCGGCCCAAGCACGACCAAGCGCCCATGTACATATTGGATATAGGAAAGAAAGATTTTTCTACTTATATCTTTAATTATACATCAAATAAAATATTGGGAATGCCTATGTTGACTTGGACAAAACAATCGACCGGTAAGTGGTTGTGATATACCAATTAAACCAACATGATCATTCTTATGGAAGATTGTGGTCAACCTTTATCCTAGACCGGTCAACCATGTGTAAGGGACTAACAAGCAGAATGGTCGACCTTTCTAACAAAGTGGTCACCGATTATCAATAAGAGATCAACCATTCCAGAGAAAAGTTTAATCACACTGAACAATGCTCGACCATCCTTTTGGTAGATGAAGATTATTGGTTTTATAGTTAATGATGTCGTTTGTAGTTATGTCAAATTTACCTGACCCAAAGCTAGGATCGTATTTCCGTAGGGCCTCTCACAGTTCAGTACTTATGTGGCAAGATACAGTTCTATTAATTTTGAAAATGGTACATGAGGTTGAGGACTTGAGGTGCCTTCGATTTTTCAAAATAAATAAATAAATAAACGTGCAGGAATGCAAACCTATAACTACATTGGATGAGTGAGAAAGTAGAGAATGATAGATGTTGCATAGGCAAGCTCCCCCTAGGTCTCCTGGTTATGGTCCCTCCGTGATCAGAAGCATACGAGCTGCTTATTCCTTAGATATCCTCATCCCACCTTGTGCCAATGCATTTACCCTGACTAATGGGCGATAAGGAACCTTCGGATTTCTGTCTTGAGGCATCACACTGTCAATCGAATGATGTCCCGACCTGCATGTCTGGTCTAATCCTAAGTGATTTGGATTTCAATCCTTGCAACTCGAAGGAGTGCAAGGTGGACTAGGCTCTCATCCGAATCGACAAAAGATGAAATAGAGGGAATCAAGCATCACACATATAAAATAAACAATCATATTAAAACCAATTCAGATTTTACGTAACTAAACCCCTAGGGTTTACATAGCTATGCAACTAAAGGAACTAGCCAGTCATGGGCAAAGATTCATGGGTGATCATCGATCAAAACAACGTCCCTAGAGAGCCATCGGCAGCCACAGTAGAGAAACAGGGTTATAGCATGCCGTTTCTAGTCCCAATTGCTCCCTTTAAATTGGTTTCTCTCTATGTTAGGTGAGTCGTTCTGTTGGTAGAGTAACAACCCTTCCTTGATCTCTCGTCTCCCCTTCTCGATTTATATCTTTAGAGGCCTATTTAAAAGCCTTTGATTATGATTTATGGGGAGAGTAACAACCCTTCCTTGATCTCTTGTCGCCTAGTCTCGCTGAGGTTTCTACCATCGTCACCGGGTCTCGCCATAGGCAAGCAGTTGCATGGAGAACGGAAGGAACGCGACAGAGAGTCGGGGTCGATAGGGGAGTGTGGAATATGGATCGGAGATGGCCACAACATCTTCCTCGGATTTGAAACCCAGATTTCATCTTCTCCGATTGAACCCAGATTTGACTTCATCTTCTCCAATTGAAACCCAAATTTCATCTTCTTTTCCCCTGACTTCATCTTCTCCTATTGAAACCTAGATTTGACGCTTCCGAGATCCATCTTCATCGTCTCCAGGCGTTGTTAATCATCAGCATCTCTGAGTCTTCCCCCGCAGCCGCCAATGAAACTCAAAAGGGGTCGGCATCCACAACTCCATTGGCAACTGAAAATCAAATCCTGCCGAGCCCAGATCCTTATTCCCCAGTGGAAATTAAAAGGAAGCAGGAGAAATTAAAGCCCATATTGCAATCATCATCTCTCCCTCCCCTTCTTGTCGCAGCTTCCCTCCCTTGTTCTGGCTTCCCATCGTCTCCCCAAGAAACTATGGAATTGGAATGGAGATGAAGCTTGTATTTTGCGATGGCCCAACATCCACCCGACCTCATATTTCTCGTGGAGATCAACCGACTGACCATCTCTGTTTCTCTCCACCGTTGCTAAATCAGATGCTCAACTGTTGCCTGATTTGTTGGGTTTCGTGGATCGGTCTCGGTTTGGGGGTTAGGTGAATTTTGAATCTAGATTGTTGTTGGAGTGGAGATTTGGGAGCACGAAGCAGTGTCGGCGGGGGTGAGTGGTGCCTGGTGCGAGGTTGAGAGGGTGGAAGGAGAGAGAGAAGAGATCCGGCAAGAATCCAGCGGTGATGGAAGAATCGAGAGAGTTTGAAGAATATAGAGTTTTGGCTAGGAAAGGGATGGGGAAGAAGAGAGATGAGAGAGAGAAAATAAAAAATATTTATTTAATTTATTTTTATTTTCCATCTCACAATTTTAATTGACTAATTGTCGCCAACTCAGCAATTTCGTTAGTCTAGCCAGCTCGTTACTTAACACCGTCAAAGAATTGGACGGAAGTGGCTATTTTTGGTATTTCACCAAAAGTGGCTATATTTGGCCAAACCGTCAAAGTTTTAACTACACAAGAGTATTTTGCCATACAATTACAAAATTTACCAATACTAGTACAGATTCAATCAGTACTAGTACATATTAACTGATACCAATACATAAAGATCAAAACTAATAAAATAAAATAAAAACCCAATACCATTACTTGAAAATCAATATCAATGCAAAATAACGAATATCACTACAAAAAAATCAATAAAATATAAAAAGTACATAAAAATACGAATAAAAATTATATATGGAATCCGACTGAGGTTTTTAGAATTCGGGCGATTGATTCTGACGTAATGATGAAGGGGGACAAGCTGTCAAATTACTTGGCCTCGACAATTTGCGCGACCGAGATGTTGTTGCAGTTCTGGCGAACCTTGTGGCTGAGCTAGCGGAAGAAATCGGGGGAGGGGGGGGGTAGTAAGGACTTCAAGATGAGTGATGACGACATCTAATGGTGAGAAAAGATCCACGAACATCAATAGAGTTTGAATCGTGCGGAGGAGTAGAATCGATGTGGTTTCACATGACGTGATTATTGAAAGGATCAGAGCGACACTTAAGGGAGAAGCAAAGCCGCCTGCATTGGAGGTGAAGAGCTTAGGGCAGAGGGTGGAAGACACAACCATATCGGTGATAGATGAAGAGTTGAGGTGAGAGAGGATAATCTGTTAGTGTTTGAGAAGAGAAATATACATGGAAAATTGTATTTTAAGGAGTAATAATTACAAGTGGTATCTTTTTCATTTTCAAAACTGCCCCAAACTAATTTGGTAAGATAGGAAAACAATCGATGGAGATGTTTATTGCCACCGTGGCTATAAAAAATTAGTATTCACCCTAACCCGTTGCCAACTAAATACTTATTTGTCCAAACCACAACACATAAAATGAAAATGGTGAAATTTTATAAGTGGAACCACATTTCTATATTGACTTTCACTTATTTGTTTTTTAAGGAAAAAAAGAGGGAAAGAAAAAATCTTGTGGAAAATCAGGATCCCAATAAACCGTTTTCTTAAGCATTAAATATTAACGAAGAAAAGGAAAAAGATGAAACTATTTTATCATTTGTACCTCAAACTGGAGGGGAAAAAATGTACGTCCATATCCCTCTCTTTTGTCTTTTTATTATTCTTCTCTAATTGTGAGTTCTCTTTCCAAACATCTATTGTCCATATCCCATTTTCTTTCCTTATTTATTCTTTCTTATTATTTATTAATTATTTTTTCCTGTATTTGTAGCTCCTCTTTCCAAAATGTTGATTTTTTTATAAATGATGAATCATTATTTATTGCTAAACGATAATTTGGTAAAAGATAATCATGGTGTGTAGCCAAAACTAGTATAAAAAATTTATTTTCTGGTTAGAAACTCGTTAGTGGTAGAATCTGATAGCGAATTTTAATTCCCATTACTTCCCAAAAGAGAAACAAATTCAATGAAAAAAATGTCTTATCATCGCCCATGAATGATCCCAAAAAATTCAAAGGACAATTCAAATTTATAAAATACAACTTCAAGTCAAAAAATAAATCACAATCAAGTACAAAAGAAATCAATTGAAAAGTAAAATCCAAATTAACTCCCACATGCCATCTCTATATTCCCCTACTCATAAGTCATCTCATAAGTGAGCTTTCATAATTTTCTTTGCCCTCCAACCGACCGTCTTCGTCACCCCTGTCAGTCGGCTTGAGTAAATAGAAGAAGAAAACCTTGAATACGCCAAAGGCTTCAAGAATGACTCCATGCACCTGAAAAATTATGTTTGTGGATGATCTGTTAATGTTTGTGGAGATCGATATATATGAAAAATTATATTTTAAAGAACTATAATCGCTTTCACAAAAAAATAGTAATAAGCACCATGTGATTTTTCGTTTTCCAAATTGGCTCAGACTAATTTGATCGTCAAATTAATAAATAAGATAGAGGAAAACATATGATAGAGATGTTTATTGCCACCATGACTACTAGAAATTAGTATTAACCCTAACTCGTTCTCAACTAAATACTTATTTATTCAACCCATGACACATAAAATGAAGATAGTGAGATTTTAGAATTGGACTCAAGTTTGCGCTTCCATATTTTCACTTATTCTTAGTTTTTTAAAAAGAAATTGGAGGGAACGAAAAATTCTTGTGGAAAATTTGGATTTCAATAAACATTTTCTTTTACGCATTAAATAGTAACGAGGGAAAGTAAAAATGTGAAACTATTGTATCATTCGTCCCTCAAATTGGAGGAAAAACAAAAGTGCACGTCTATAGTCCTTTCTTTTTCCTTTTTATTATTTCTTTCTCTAATTGTGGTTCCTCTTTCCAAAAATCTAGTACCCATACCCCTCTTTATTTCCTTACTTGTTCTTTCTTATTTTTTTTTTATGAATTATTTTTCTATATTTGTGGTTCCTCTTTCCAAAATGTTGATATGTTTTTTTTCATAAATGATGAATCATTATTTATTACTAAACATAAATTCAGTAAGATATAATCAAGGGTGTGTAGCCAAAACTCGTATAACAAATTTATTTCCTGGTTAGAAACTCGATTAGTGGTGGAATCTGATAGCAGTTTTGCAGTTAAGTTGCTTGCACCGAAACTGCGTGATTTGTGGTTATGTCTTTTATTCGGTTGAGGTTGTGGATAAGCCATATTTTGCGGTTAAAAGTCTTGTCATTTCTACGTTCTATGTAAACCATAAATCGAACACAACACTGATTTACATCACGCATAAAGTTGATTTCTGCGATACGTAAATCACTAAATCTATTACGTGAGAAGTAAAAGTGTGTTACGTTTAAGGTAAAATGACATAAAAATGTGAAATTTTTATAAATGGATGTCAATTTGTACCGCAAAGGTAATCCAATTTTTTAGGGAAAAATTTAAATCGAGTAAAAGTGAACGAGATATGTTCTGTTAAAAATAATGAAAAATATTATCATCAAGGTTACGTAGAAGTTTGTTATTTACTCTTTCATAATCAATTAAATAACATATCTATCACACTTCTCAGTATACTTTTTTTTCTTCCCACTTTTTTCTTTATTTTCCCTCGTAAAATAACATTTTTCTTACCATTTCCCTCCACTCAAATTTTCATTCCCTCATAATTTATCATCCCCTCCCTAAAAAACAGAGTATTAATGAAATATTTCAAAGAATGAAATAGCAAACCACAATAATGAAATGAAAAATGTAAGTTGCCATATCACAATGAAATAGAGTAAAAAGACGCACATTTTGGATCCTCTTATACGCTTTGTAAGACAGAATCTTTTTTGTTATTTCGGTTTCTTTTAAACCACATATAACTAAGTGAATGTATAATTAAATTGACAAGTCATGAATGATTATTCACGAGTATTACTATCATTAAGAAAATCACATTTGACCTTTGACGAATGATTTCAAAAATTGAAAAATAATTTTGAGTTACCTTAATGTCACACAAACTAAACATCTCAAATAATTTGAAAAATTAATATACACATTGTAAATATGTCATATTCAAATAACATTCTCATCATGAGATTGGACAATAAAGTAGTGACATTCAAATTTTTGAAGATCCCAGCGATAAATTAAAACCCATTATTCTTCAGGGATAAAAAGTAAAAACCACCACCACCAACTTGGGTTGGGTCAAATTTGAAACTCACCCCTTTCATTTCAGGGCTTGGCACATCAATTTAACATATCCGGCCCAATTAAAAACCCTAGTTTTTGCATATGACGAGTCGAGTGGGTTGGTAGCGAGAAAAACCATTTTAAGTAATGCGGCCAACAGGCAACAGCCGGTAATCGGCGCGTGAAGTTACCGGGAAAGGCCGTAACATATTATTACGGCCAGGCCAGGAGCGTGAATCTATTATCTACATACATACTCCACCGTAAAATCTGTCTTTCTGCCGTTTTAGTTTCCACCCCATCCCCTGCCTTTAAATACACCACTGTCTGCATTCTCGTTCGTACAGAAAAACCTCTGCTTACTTCAAATCTTCCCAGGTTCAAAGGTACGTCCCTGTGTCTGAATTCCCTAGTCGTTTGGTAATCCAATTCTGCATGCACCTTCGTTTTCCCTTCTTTTTGATCCATGGCCATTTGCAAGTTGTGAAGCCTGAGGGTGGAAGTTGTTCGCTTTGTTTGTAATCTCTTGTTTAATTGTGAAGCGGTCTGGAAAATGAAGGATCGTCTCTTCCTTTCATTTCATCTCTGTATGCTTGTGTTCTGTTGTATATCTGTATATCATCAGCGCTTTTTAAGTACTTTTTCCCCTTGCTTTTGTCTGCTTTGTTAATGGAAAATTCAGAATTGTTTGATTGCACTATGTTTGCTTTGCGTCCAAGTAACGGCTATATTGGGTTTTTCTGATGCCATGGAATTTGTCTATGATCAGTTGGGTTTCGGATTGTCGAATGGTTTACTTCCCAGTGGTGGTGATCTGTGATTGAGAATAATTGATTGTTCTGCAATTCGGGAGATTGTTTTGATTCCCTGTAGCTTGAATGACCAGATTTATGAGTTTGGTAGTGATGTCTCTGAAAGCTTTACCTTTTTGGTGGAAACTCGAAACCTTACGTCGTCGATTTTTGCTTGTTCCATCTAATATAATAGTAGCTTGTTGTGCTTGTAAATTGTAATTTATCTGTTGCTTTGAAAAGTGTCCGAGTTCCCTTCATTAGGGTTTGAAATGTGTTATTCTATCTGTAGTAATGGACTAAACGATGTTTGAAGTAGCACGCTGGATGAACCACTTCATGATTGTGGCCATGTTTTGGGAGAAACTAGCTAGATGGAACGATTTCTTCTTACTTAGTTGTTTAGATGCATTTTCGAAATGGGATTGTCGACTAATTAACATTGTGTGCAACTCTTAGCCACGGTTATCAGGGGAAGTAGAAGGGGGCACAAGAATGCCTACTTCTGAGAAGGATGCATTGGGTTATCTCGACGCTGTAAAGCAGACATTTCGGGACGAACCCCAAACGCACGAGGACTTTCTCGAGGTTTTGAAGGATTATAGAGCTATGAGGTGAGGGGTTTTTTAGTTCCCCTATATATTATGTTTGGTTCTTTAGATGTTAATGACAAATATGAGAAGCTAGAAAGATTGCCTGATTACCATTGCATATTGTCCCCCCTTGTGTCCCATTTTCACTGCAGAATTGACACTAGCAGTGTCATTGCAAGGGTGAAGCAGCTATTTAGAGGGCATCCTGACCTGATTTTGGGGTTCAATACCTTCCTGCCTGAGGGATATAAGATCAGCCTCGCAGTTGGCGATGCTAAAAAACCTCCTCCTCCACGGAAGAAACCAGTTGACTTTGAAGACGCCATCACCTTCATCAGCAAAATTAAGGTAGATCGATGTGTTGTGCTAACCCATCCATCCCTGTTACCTACGTATGTTACGTGGTCTACTGTGAAAGAGCTATGTAGGCTCATGTTGAATGTTTTTAAGCAGAGGAGGTTTCAAGGCGATGCTCGAGTTTACGATTCGTTTATGGATGTCTTGATGAGGTTTCGGAGTGGGCGTCTACCCATAGCAGAGGTTTATCTACGGGTATGCTACTAATTAACCATCATGTTCAACTCTTGCTAAGTTGTTGAAGTTTGAGGTGTTGTTGGGATCATGTGTTCCTAGCAATAGCATGACCAATGTGGCATCAGAATGGCGTAAAATTCTGTCCATTTTTTTCATTCTTGTTTTTCTTTTGTTGCAGGTGGCTGAACTTTTCAAAGACCACAGCGACCTACTTGAGGACTTTGTTCAATTTTTGCCGGAGAGCTAGCTGAGCTATTCGCCAGTTGTTGTCATATCACAGAAGCTCCATGAAGAGAAAGAAAGTTTGTGCGGATACTATTAGAGGTTGAGAAGAGGGTAGTTTTTCTTCTGTTTTTGAGAGGAACTTTGGAATGTTTTGGATTGGCGTTTCGTTTCATCATCGTTGAATAAAATATTGAAGTTGCAACCTATCTGTTTATTATTGGAGGAATTCTGCAAGCATCGATTTACCAAAAAAACCAAAATATATGGTGAAAAAGTGAATTTTTCATTATTAAAAGGATAATGTACAAAATTTCAAAATAACAAAAGAAAAACGTTTGATTGTTTGTAATTTGTATTTAGATTATGAGTTCACAATAGATGTTTGTATTGTGTTAGTGTATTTCTTATAATTATTATATTTGTATTGTGTTAGTGTATTTCTTATAATTATTATATTATGTTAATAATGTAGAAGTGTAGTTAAATTATTTATATGATTATATTTCATTATTAAAAGGACAATGTACAAAATATCAAAATAACAAAAGAAAAATGTCACATGTGGAGGTTGTTATTGGTTGGTGGTTAAATGCCAGACTACTACTCGCGACCAAACCAATAAGGCTTAACGATTCGATTTTCTATATGCATTTTTGCTTAGTGGTTAACTACTAACCACCAAATATGTTACCGAACCAATTAGCATCCTAAGTACAAATTCAATTTGCAGCTATACATTCTTGTACAAATTTCTTTTTAGTAATAATTGAACTTGTATGTTTAGCGCTATAGTATAAATTGAGTATGTAAGTTTACTTTTTTACAAATTCATTTACAGTACCAACTTAATTTGCACTTGTATGTTATTGTATAAACTTCTTAACTTGTACCTTAACATACATATACTTATTATTCAAATTAAACTTTTATCTTGCACCTTGAGACACATACTATTATTATAGTTGTTATAGAACAAAACAAACTACAGTGACAAAACATCTCATCATCACGTAAAAAAAAAAATACTGGTGAAAACAAGGTCTCCCGAGATGAATGGATTAAAAAACAGAGAGTTCATGGCGCAAGATATTATTAATTAGCGGGGAAGCCCTCTGTAGCTGAAGTGCTCGGTTATGCTACAGCCGACTTGTTGGTTGTTGCTGCTCTCCTCTGCTGCACGGATTGGGAGGAAAAAGCTTTGTTCTCCTCATTCTGAGTAGTCCTGTCGGTTCGGTTCGGGTAACCAAACCCGAACCCCGTGAAAACCAAAAAAACCGAACCCGCTCCCACACAACCCGAAACCGAACCGCACTGCACTTTTGTGGGTTTCGGGTACTGGAACCCGAAATTGATGGTGTCGGGTTTGCTTTGGTTCGGGTGAACCCGAAAATCTCCGCAACAGAATCTTCGCGTCCCTCCTCCACATTTACATTACCACCCCCGTCTTTTCCAGGATATTACGAAAACGCCATTGGAAATTCAGCAAAAAAGAAACACAAACGCTTCCTTTTCTTTATATATATATTTTCTGTTCGTCCTCCTCATCTTCTCTCCTCTCCTTCCCTTCCGTTCATTCCTCCATCGATTCGATTCTCTCTCAGTATTCACGCACAGCTCCTCTCTCTCTCTATATATATTTATGCAGATCTCGCCGTTTCTGTGTTGTGTAGTTTCACGCCTCCGATTCTCAGCGCAATAAGAGAGGAGGGGGGGAAGCCGGAGGAAGAAGATTCGGTTTTCATTTGTAGAAGGGGTGAAAGAGGCCGGAAAAATGGGTTCGATTCCGGCGGAACTGAGCTTGGATTTCAGGATGATGTCGACCAAGTTCGTCCCCAAGACGATCGGAGATTTCCTCCGGAACGGTTCTTCGACGGCCATGATCGGCGGCGATGAGCCGGAGAAAGCTCCCAGAGTGGATAGCTTGTTGAGGGAGCTGCAGGAGGAGATGAAGAAGATCGACGCCTTCAAGCGCGAGCTCCCTCTCTGCATGCTCCTGATTAAACAAAGGGAAAGGAGGAACAAAAAGATCCTAGCAGCAAGGAGAAGGAAAGCTCGCAGGGCGAAGAGAGAAAGGAAGGAAGGTGGGTGGAAAAAGGTTGCAGCAGCAGCAGGGCTTCTTCTTCTTCTCCGATTCCCCATGCGGTTTCTACGGAAAGAAAGGAGTGGAAACGAAAAACCAGAGGGGAAGGAGGAATTTTTTTGGTGTTGGGTTTTGGTTTCCCAGGCTTAGATCTGGCTGGGTTCGGGAAAATCATCGGTTTTCTCTTCTGGGTATTGAAGTTTGCGAGCTGATTTTTAGTGGGTTGCTGTTAGAAATCCGATTCAGGGGCGTGTTCGCGGTTGATTAGGTGTGAGCAGAACAGAGTCACGGTGTTGCGTTTACCCGGCGTCGCTCTCTCCGGCGAGCTGCCGAATGGGGTTTTTGCCAATTTGACTGAGCTGCGCACTCTCAGTCTTCGCCTCAACTCTCTCACTGGTAACATTCCTTCAGATCTAGCTGCTTGTACTCGTCTCCGGAACTTGTACCTGCAGGGGAATTTCTTCTCCGGCGAGATCCCAAAGTGCAGTGCGGCCTGCTCCGCTCCGAAGATGCGCAGAGGAGCTTTGGTTTTCGGGTTCCCTGTTGGTTTTCGGGTTTAGGTGAACCGAAACCGGATGTGACTTTCTCGGGTTGAAACCGCAAACCCGAAACCGAAGACACTTACTACCGGTTCGGGTTCGGGTTAAACCGAAAAACCGAACCCATTTTGACAGGCCTAATTCTGAGCGAGCTTCTCCAATCCCAATTGTTTACACTTATTCACTTAACACAAACAAAATCCCTCATTTCAATTTCAATTTAGCATCATGGAAGCTCCAATGGGCGATGACGACGAGTTGGAACTTGTCACACCATGCGCCGGCCACCGCGACGACGACAGGTCAGGTCTTTGAGGAGGATGCGCCAATGCGGTGCTTGTGCTAGGTCGTGGTTCGATAGAAAGAGCCGAGCAGCCGTGGTGAGGTGAGGTGGAGACGGCGAGCGTCGAGCAGCTGACGCCGAACTTTTGAACTTCTTTGCGTGGCGAGGTGGAGACGGCGAGGAGGGTTGGAGGCTGCTTCGTGCCGGTGTGAGACATGTAGAGGGGAACACGAAAAAATTTAGGGTTGGTGTGTGAGACAGGCAAATTGGCCATCGTTATTACCTGAAGGGTTCCGGTATCGGTTTTACCTGGTAACCGACGGGAAATTACCGAATTTTATCCGGTATACCATTCACCCTAAGATCCCCTCCACTTATCGTTACTGCTGGTTAACGGTAACCGGTTATAGCGTTAACAGGGTACCCGATTACCAGTCCTAGGTTTGAATGGGTGAGTTCTCATTACAAATAAGTAGGGTATTTGTACCTATAAAGATACATTATACAATGAAAGAGTATACAATTACAACTAGGATGCGGAATGTGCAAATACAGTCCTAAATCTTCACGTGTCAGATGATGATGAAATGGATCTAGAAGACCTAAAGCTAGCGAGGAAAACATATGGAGACTACGTACATGTAAAGGAATGGGAGCAAGCTTTTGCTTTCCTCCAATCGAGTTGCTAGATTGAGTCAAGACATTCTAGGAGCATCAATGCTAGCATCCAAGAAGAAGACCCCAAGCAACTGTTAGTAGATAAACTATTCATTGAGCAGCCTCCCGAAGACGATCAAGGAAGTTCCAATGAAGTGTGTGAAGGTTTTGAAGAGATCAAGGTACAAGAAGGGTTTATGAAGCATCAAAATTTCGTGGATCATGAAGAAACGGAGGATCATCTCAATGCCAATATCTATAGTTAATTGCACATGTTTGATAGACGCTAAAAACTTGACACGAGTACGTGTCAAGTTTGATAGACCGTTAATTGCACATGTTTTTACCCCTATTCTTGAGCCGTTTGAGATGTCGATTCTCGCGTTTTAGGCCAATTTCACGCTAGGTTGTTCTTGTTTGTGATATTTCAGGTCCTAGTACGTGAATGAAGGTTTGGGAACGAGTTCAGGGTCGATGGGACGAAGATTGGACATTTGGCGAGAAGTTGAGGAAGCCACACGGGCATGCCTAAAACCCACACGGTCGTGTAAGGGAACCCATGTGGCCGTGTGGAAATTCCAGGGAACTTACACGGGCAGCCTGGAAATCCACACGGTCGAGTGGTTTTGGCCGTGTGGGATGGCTGAAGTCACTTAATCGAAACTCCGCGTTTTGACACTCACACGGGCAGCCTGGGAAACCCACACGGCCATGTGGTCGGGAAATTCTGGTTTTTAACCCAGTTTCGAGCCAAAGGATGGGGGAGCTGGGTTTTGGATCCCAAACACCCAAGGGACGAACCAAAGAGAGGGAGGGCGATTTGAGGGCATTCTAAGAGTGGAATTGGAGGATTTCATCGCCTTGGAAGCTCGAGGAACAAGCCCGGACTTGAAGACTGATCATCTGAAGATTCTTACTGCAGTCTCTCTCTTCTCTATGGAGTAACTTCCCTTCACTTAGGTTTTGAGGAACCCTAGCTATGTTTGTTTGATTGGATGATTGTATGAGTACTCTTACTTGATAATCTTGAGTTCATATTCAATCTATGCATGTTTTCACGATTCAATTCTGCTTTAGTCGAGATTATTGATTCTGCTTTGATCATATGAGAGCAAATACCTGATTAGTTCAATAGAGCACCATAGATTGATAGTAGTGGATCGATTGCTTTAGTCGAGGGTTGATTCATTGCTTTGTATCGATTGAGAACCTCTTTCGATAGGGGAGTCTAGTTCAGAACGCCTTGATCGGTTGTTCTAGAGAAGGATATGTCCCTCTAGGCAATTGACTCAAGAGGGCCTTGTTCCTTTAGTCGAGACTCAAGGTCTAGTCAAGGATTCTCCGCATTGTGAATGAAAGTTAAACAGGTTAGAGATCATCAATCATTAATCTGGCTAGTGGCTAGGGGGAATCATATCTAAGTGAGTTCCCAACCTGTAATTAGATTAACTTTAGCTATAGTTTGCTAGAGTAGTTTTAGTTCTTCCTTATTAATCTGGTTTGCTAGATAATGAACTGAAGCTGAGTAATAGTAACTCTAGAGACCCGTGAATTCGATATTTATTACTTGAGCCACTATACTGCAGTCTCTTTCATTGGTTACACTTGGCCATTGTTAGGAGCAATGCAGTTAAAAGCGCAATTCTACCTAGAAGTGGAAAATGGGTAAAATCGTAAAACGTAGAATCAAAGCGTAAAAGCGTAAGTTTTTTACGCACTCTCTAAAAGAGCTAAAAATATATTAAGTATAACATATATAGTATGTAAAATGTGAGTGTGTAGATTTTAGATAAGTGAATAACTACATGAAATTCATAATTAAAATGTAATATCTAAAACATAAACTAATTTGTGTTGACTCAAAAGTAGAGAAAACTCATAACATCTTAATAATAAGCTCATAAACGTATATCGTAACCCGTAAACGAGCTTGAAAATCCAAATTCTCATAAGCTGGTCTGAGTTTACATAATTACATACGATCAATTACCCATAAAATTTAATCGTAACCTAGGTAAGAGGTACAGGTGAAGATTAAGGGAGAACACTAATAGAAGGTCAGCGGCTGTTGAGAATACCACTAGGTGTCTTTTCAACCTAATGTGAAGCCCCTATCTCGACACTAGTTGTAGAACGAGTGATAAATCATGTTTTCCTTTTTTTTTATTTTTTGCTGATATGTCTACAAAATTACATCATTTTGGGCCAATTAGCACATTTTTATGATATGATCAAAATCGTATAAAACGATTCAGAATCGTGATTTTACCGATTTTAAGCGATTATAACGATTTTACCCATGTTTTTACCAGTTTTTGTGTCTAAGCGACTTTAAATAGAAACTGAAACGTTTTGGTGGCCTGGATACGTAAAAACATAAGTTTTTACGCATTAATGCGTGATTTTGACTGCACTGCTTAGGAGTTGTGTCATAGTGTGTCAAGTTTTTGGCGCCGTTGCCGGGGACTTTCTAGATTATTAGGAAAGGCAGAAGTTTGTTACTTTAGCGTTTTTCTTTTCTTTTCCACCCTTGCTTTTCACTTGGGTGTTTTTGTTTTTGTTGGTGCAGATGTGAATCATGGATCCTCATGGCTTCTCCAACCATTGGGGGTATCCACCACCGTCCGAGTGTTATTACCCAGAGACTCCCTGGAGCAATCAAGGAGGAGAAGACTATGGTTTCGGGTTCCAGTACCAACCCCCTTACTACGGAGAACAATCAGACCCCTAGGCATATCAAGAACAACCTCATTACCAAGAAGATTTTCTCCCACAACCAGAAGGGCCATCGGCGCTGGAGTTACCCATGGCGGCCTTCACGGGTCATTCTGCAGAGCCATGCTGCACTTCACAGCCAGATCCAAACTATGAATTGAGGCTTCTCATGGAGCAGTTTGCCAGAGACATTGAGAGATCATGGTCTAGGATGGATCTTTGTACCCAGGCCTATCGTGAAACAGAGGAGATCCTCCTGAGCATTAAGAAGAGCGTCGATGATCTTGAGTGATCTTACGCACAACCTGCTCCAGATCACCCTTCTGCTACCATACTAGAAGAGGAGGAGGAAGAAGAAGGCTACAAGGACATTGTGGAGCACACTGAAGTTGTCACAGAGAGCTCCCGTGATGATCATGATCAGGAATGTTCTGTCGTAGCCGACCACACCTTCCCACATCCCAAACTGAGTTTTAAAGAGGCGGGCATGAGTGAGGAGATGCAAGAAGATCTCATGAAAGAAATTGCTTGGCAACTTGCTCTCCAATCCGTTCTAGAAGAAGAAGAGCGAGAGAGGGTGCAGAAAGAAGTTGTGGAGGATGACGAAAGTGAAGCAGAAGGAGTTCTTGATCATTTCCCAGGGGTGATACCACATGAAGAAGAAAGGGAGGTTGAAGAAGCAATTAGCGTCCAGGCTGAGGACGTAGTTGAGGTGGAAGAGGCCTGCACCTGCCATGAGTTACATGTGATATCTCCACCAAACTTCGAGTAACTACTTAGCAAGGACCCATTTGCAGTGTCTCTTTGCTAGACCAAGGACACTTCGACATCGGTCCCTCTTGGTGGACGCGATGGTGGTCAATCGATGTTATCATATTTGGTTTGGGGCAATGAGACGAGAGAAGAGAAGAAGAGGTCTCGAGGGTGGAGACGTTATCTGCATCAAGTGCACGAGCTTCCATTACCTGTCATACCACATGCTCGTGACTTGAGACTCCACCTCATCGACGAGAACCTCAACTTCAAGGAGGTTTTGGGGTGGACCAAAACTTAGGAGCCATCGTCCGGCTCACGACGTAAAAGAAGCGCTTGTTGGGAGGCAACCTAACCAGTCGGTTTGCATTTCTTTCTCTCTTTATCCTCGGTTGGGTCAGTTTTGTTATTTGATTATAGAGTCAATAACTCAACCTTTGTGAGATTTTGTGTGGTGTTTGTGTTTCGACTACTCTCTCCTCCTGGAATGCACCGCCTGCCTCGTCCACCATCATTCACCCTTGATCTGGTAACTTCGTTCTACCCTCCTTATCTTTCCTCCATTGAGGACAATGTTGTGCTTAAGTGTGGGGGGATGTTCGATTATGTATGCGGGTGAATGTTTGACTGTTTGTGTGCTTGGAGCCTAGTCCACTGTCCAAATTTTTAAATTTGAGGGCTCCAAGTACGTGTTTCCTTGCAAATTGCCTGCTTAGTATGCTTTGAATTGACAGTCTCTATAGTAATGTGCAACCTAGGGAGTAGTGTAGCACTATGGAGGATGTTGAAGTATAAGATTTTTCCTATCTAGCTCTATGTTGTGCCAGTTGATTTTGTGAATTAGTGGAGCTAGGACCGTTGAATTCATGTGATAATGGTGACTCTATTTGGATTGTGTTATGGACTCGTGTATCGAACAGGGTGCTCATGTGAAAAATGAAATGCAGCTGGTCCTCCATGTCAAAATCATTAAATCTTAAACATGGGGTAAGCCCAAAATGTGCGGCACCGTTCATTGCACAAAATCGGGTTTTGGAAGAGATTTTAGTGATCCTTAGTGGGGTACTCCTACAAGGTGAAGCTAAGCTGTCT